CATTTATGTGATTTATCAAAAAATTTAAAAATTCATGTGCATCTTGTTGCATATAGTTATCAAACTCCTCTGTAACAAATTATATATATATATATATACATATATATATATATATGTATATTATATGTCTCATCCATAAATAATTTCAATATTTGATATTAAATAAAGAATATTATTGTAATTATGAAATCGAATTTTAAATTAGTAACATATATTTGCATTAACCTTTCTCTTTTCTCAATCTGGCAATAAATTTTTTTGGAGCTATAGATCCAACTTTCTTTTTCTGAGTTGCAATACTGTAGAACAAATCTGCTAAACATGTTAATAATGTTTCCTTGGTTCTCTTATTTCTAGCTTTGTATTCTAGAACTTTTTCTCTAAATGGTCGACAAAAATACAAAGCTTGTAATACAGAATTACTATAACAGGTATTTCCAAACTATAATAATATAAATATCAGTATTAATATACTGTGTTAAATTTTTAATATTGAAAATAAAACAATTCTAAGATTCATTAATATCATTTTTATTTATTAATTCTTATATTTATATGTTACTGCAATTTATATTTATGTAGCATACTTACATTAACTAGCCCAAAATAATGTTCATTAGGAGGAAATTGATCAGAGCCAATATCTCTCTCTAATTGTGATATATTTGCACCCTATAATAGTAATAATCATAATAATAGTAATAATCATAATTATTAGATATAGAATTTATAATTGTTAAAATGAATATTTTAAATATATACATAAATATTTACAAATCATATTATAAAAATTTTCTAAAACATATTTTACAATTAATTTATTAAATTATGTATTACATATTACAAATAATTTTGTCAAAGATTTGATTGAAATTAATGAAATAACTATTTTTAAAATTCTTCATCTTTTATTTTAAGAACTGTAACTAAACTGAACATAATTAACAATTCAAGCATAGATGAGAATTATAGAATAATTCTTTTTACATTTTAATTTTTATGTTAGTAGCGATCTATGATTTTTTTATTATTACAAGTTGTTTCTTATCTTATGATATTCATTTTAAAAAATGTGATAAGTCACAATTTAAAACAAATACAACTTCAATGTATATAATAACGTTCGTGTTGATCACAAAATGACAAAAATATTGCAAATGTTTATTGATTACGAAATTTATTTAATCTTACCATTTTATGATTTAATAGCTGTTATTGACCACTGACAAGCAAACAGCATGGATTTTAACAACAAAACCGCCATGGTATTATAATTTACAAATTTATTGGTTAAATGATTATAATTGCATAATTGTTTGTGACTTTTACAATAAAAGTAGAAGAAATTGTTTAATAATGACAATTTGCACGATATTTCTATTAGGAAACGTTTACATGTGTTATTTAACGTTTTTATTAATATATATTTTAAACAACGATTAAATTAGTTTTCACGAAATGACCAGAAGTTACTGTTGTGTACTCAAAAGCATTATAAAAGGGTACTGATGCTGGTCTCAACAAACTGTTTTTTAACGAAAGATGTCTCTACCTTCCTATAGTAAAGACGCTTGAATCTGATGTTTTTGTGATCATTATTTCTGTAACAGTTTCTTTCGCGCTAATTTTCTTGAAACCTTTTATTAATAACATTTTAAAGTATTTTTATGATATATTATATTTTTCTTATTATTTTTATATGTAATGAACTTATACAAAAAATATTTGTACTTTTTTAGGTCTACTGTTAAATTTGGTATCGTTCTAGAGATAGCGTTGATTTGAATAAAGTAGAGAATTAATGTTGCATTTTGAATGCATTATAAATGAAGTTTGTGAAACATAATTGAATACTAAATTGTCATTAATTTGAAAAAATCTTACATACTAATTTGTGTAGTATTCTTCATCGAGTTATTTTTTCTATAATTCCTGACACATGTTCATTTAAACATGTTTAGATTTTATTATTTTTCAATATGCAGTATTAAAAAGAAAAAATTTGTTGACAACATACTTCTACTTTTATAATAATTGTGGAATATCACAGGTAATATATAAATAAACATATATTTTCTGTTATATAATCTTGTAAATTACTTCAATATTTAAGAAATATTCATATATTTTTAAGAGTCTCATAAAGTAGTAATTCAATTAAATTTTATATAATGTTAATTAATTATATTCATATATTTTTATTTATGTTTACTCATATTTACGTAATTTAATTAATTTTTTATATATTTTTTAACTTTGTACTTTTGAATAATACTATAAAACAATA